TTGTATTTTTCTTAAAACTGGAGGAAATCTGTCTTTCGTTGAATTGTCTGGGTTGGAGGGTTGGGGTCGTCAGGCTGTCTGTGCTCAGATTCTAGATTTGCCTAGTCGGGGCTAAAATCCAGGGGGAATCATCCTTAGATGAATAGACTGTGCCTCCCTCCATCAACGGGAGTCAGAAGAAAGGGGAACAAGAAAGTTCCACTGCAGATCAGGGAGTGATTTGAGCCATTTGGGGGTGATGAACAACCAGGTTTCCCCTGCTCTCCAGAACCTAGAGCCCCACACATACCCAAAACTTCTCTGGATCTGGAAGCCTTGAGCACTGTCCTGTCCTATTTAGCAGCAAAGCACGACCCTCAATCATTGCAGAATTAGCTAGTTGCCATGGGCAGAGCAGCTTTCTCAGTCCCCAGCTGGATCATTGACTTCAGGGAAGGCCCCACTGGAAGGGACTGCCACGTCCGTTTAGAAACAGTGTTCTTGCTGCCTGAGGCTGTTGATGGCCGGGAGAACAGCCACAGGTTTTCAGCCATTCACAACCACATGGACAAAGGTATTGTGAGTTCTATTTTGGGGAATACTATTTACATCTTAGACTCCCAGGGGAGATAGTGAGGGCCAGGTGGCCTGGCAGAAACTTGTAGACTAAAAGGCTGTAAATGCAAAACTCTAAACAGACGGGGGAGATGTTGACTACTGCTACTGCTTGGATGCTGAATACAATGACAGAAGAACCTCATTGCGCCTGGCTTCAACTCCCGCCTTCCTTGAGCCATGGCTGTGTTTCCCAAAAAGGATTCCTTGGTATTCCTACTTTCTTGCCCGCACTGGGTGCTATGTCATTTTAAGTGTAGAAACACAGCACACTGGAATCTTGCTTGAGTCCCAGAATACAGTCACATATTTTAAAAGGCTTACTATAAAAAAATTTCTTAATCTGAATAATGGAGACATTTGTTCCAAATTGGATCATAAAACCCTCCTCTTCACCTTCACTACTTAACAGTGACATCAAACCCTGCAGGAAGGGCATCCACCATGTGCCTGGGAGAACATTACATTCTACCGTGTCAAACATGATGGGAGGGACGAGGGTTGGAGGACGGCTTTCAGTTTTCTTAACATGGAGGGAAAATGTTTTTGTGTTTAATCCAGAGAGATGAGAACAGATCTAAGGGATGAAGAAAGGGGGGTGCCTGGGGCTGATTGTCTTACTTGGAAGAGTAAGGCCACCATTTGGGGTTCTTTAGGGAATGGGAACCTGGAAGTGGGCCTTGGCAGAGGGAACTTCTTAAGTTGGGGTTGGAGTGGAGCCACCCGGATGTGAGTTCTGGGCAGAGACACCACTGGCTGTTCTTCTTTTGCTTGTCTCTCTTTCTCTTTATAGCTTTTTTAATGCTCCTTTTCCTTTTTTATTAATTTCCTCCTTCCCCACCCTCCAGAACTCTGCCTCCTCCTTTCTTTCCAAATATCTGTCCCCTCTTCTTCTTCCACACCTCCCAAGCTCTCTCTTGGTCTGTTTAACTGCCCATAAAGAGGAATGAAATGTACGCGTGTGTGTTTGTATTTATATCTGAAGTTACTAAAGTTACTAGATAGAACTTTTTGTTCCCTTTTTTGCAAAAACCGCTGCGTTTGGCATTTCGTACTTTTCTTGTATCCCCAAATAGAATTATCTTCTTACGATTGTGCATGATTCCTGACTAATTTTGTTTTTTCCCCCAGAGTCTGGAGGCCGCAAAGGCACCCATTTCTGGCTTCATTTGTTTTGTCTCTGACCCTGGGTGACCTGGGAACTCATGGGACTGGGGATGCTAACGTGGGTGAGCCCTGCTGCTTTGCTTGGGCCCTAACTGTTCTGGTCTCCACTGATCACTTTTCTGAATGTGCCTGGGATTGATAAAATGAAATGTGGCAAGACAGAGTGTCAGAAGAGAGTTGCTGAGTGGGGAGAACCGGTTCAGTGGAAAATTATTTTTTCATTCTCAGTAATTGTTTTGACATGAGCAGTAATTAGCCAACAGCTGACAGACCAGAACTAAAGCAAGAACAAGAGGACGGATCAGGGACAAAATGCCCCTGCATTAGACAGTCTTGGCTGCTGATGGTGTGGTGGGCTATGGGCCTGGGGGATGCTGGAAACGGTATGTTAGGGTGCACTTTTATGAAGGGAGTAAGCAGGGGGTCAGAAGGACAACCTCTATCCTTAAGGGGCTGGGGAACAAGCTTGATTTATCAGGACCCCACATCATCAAAAGCAGTTTAAGTGATTGCTAAGTAAGGCCCGCTCAGATATGAACCTACATAATTCATTTTCACAGTCAAACCAAGCTACTCCAGTTTTGGTTGCCATTGATAGATTTTTTAAGGCCAGGGTAATGTTGGCTGTATATGATAAACTGGAAAATTCATCTCATGTTTCTATACTCTGGTGCAGTTTCTGCCTAGGTGTTTTTTGTTTTTTGTTTTTTTTTGATCACAGTTTGAACAAATTTGCCCATAAAACCATCTGGGTCCAGTGCCTTTGCAGGGAGGTCACTTTTCAAAGTGTTACTCATTTTGCTACTTCTAGTGTCCTTTGAAACCATTTCGATCATTTGAATCTTATGGAAAATTTGGTAATTTGTTACCATTCAATTTTAAGAATACTCTTGCATTAAAAACATCTACTGTGTTTGCTGTGTTTATCTTTCTAATTCCTAATTCTGAGCATTTGTATATTCTCTCTCACTCTGGAAATAGGCTGCTCTGCCTTTTTTATTGCTTTGATTCCTCCTGTCATCCCCCGCCCCCACACAAAGAGAATCAGCCTGGGTTGCTGATGTCATCCTAACTCATTGCCATATTTATATTCCTTTCTCATATCTTCCTTTGTTTATTTTATTGGCTTAAAATTATTTTTTTAATTCTTAGTTATGTTTAGTCCTTATTCCCTTGGCTATGGTATGAAATAATGAAGTAATCAAAAATATAGATTTTTTTTCTCCAAGTTTAATACAGGCCTTAAACCATTAGTTATGATATGTTCTTCCCCATTATTTTCTAAATATTGTGTGATTACAATTTAAAATTCCTCTTTGACGTGATTTTACTTGAGAGAACATTATCTTAAATTTCTACATGTTTGGGAGTTAGAGTGATGGAGACCTTGTATATTTGTTCTTTCATTATTAATATATAATTTTATTGCTTTCTCTACAAAGAATGCGGCCTATGTTATTTATGCCTTTTGCAGTTTATCGGCATTTTATTTGTGGCTTAAATATGGGCATAGATTTTTTTAGTGTTTCATGGTTTCTGGACAAAAGGTGTTATTGGTAGCCTGGGATGTTTAATACATCTAGTTCAATCAGCCTTTTAAATTGAATTATTGAGGTATTTCACATCATCACTTTTGTCCACTAACCACTCATAGATAGAAAGCAATTTAGTTCTATTTCCTACTGTTGATTCTGTCTTTTATCCATTTTAGTGCTATGGTACTTGATAGATACAAGTTCTCAAATGTTATGCCTTTGTTGTGGGTTACACTTATCATCAATCTAATGCCTTTCCTGGCACTGCTTATGCTGATGTGAGCAGATTCTCAACAGCCCCTCGCATTCTCTGATGCTCTGGGGGCCCTGGCCTCCCCCTTAAGCTAGAGGATTCCTGGGCAGTATCAGCATTGGCCAACCTCCTGAAGGGTGTGAGTGTGGCTGGCTACATGGGGTAATTAGCTGCTTCTCATTGCTTCCCCAAGCCTCTGCACTGGAAATCAGCTCTGTGCCCGCTTTCTGCTGTCGTGGTGTGCCTGTGCCCACCTTCTTCCCGCGTGTCCTGCAAATCGAGGGGAAGCCCAGCTGCCCACTGTCAGATGAGTGTGGCACTGCTCACAGGCTGCTCTGGGGGTTCTCACTGCAAGCCATGGAGACTGGGGGATATCTCCCTGTGTGAGAAAGGTTCCATGTAGGGCTCGTCTTCACCTCCTCCTTTTCCCATCATCACCTGCCTCCAGTCCTGGCTACCCCAAATGAATAAGTGTTAGTGATTTTGCTTTGCTCCTTGCCACACTGCTCTCTCAATAAGACCTGTGAGTTCGATGCCACCCTGCCCAGATTATGTGTTGTGGCAATTTCTCCAACCTGCGACATGAGGACAGTGTGCTTTCCCACTCTCAGGGTTTCCTGGGCTCAGGGTCAAAGGGGATTAGATTCAGAAAAAAAAGCAGTGACCTCCCTGCCTTACACCCTCCCTTCTTTTCTCATGAGGCACTTTACAACTCATAGATCCCTTATGCAAATATTGTCTCATTTGATTTTCAGACCAACAAAGTAGGTTTGCAGGCCAAGTAGAATTAGCCTCATTTTATAGATACAGAAGCTGAGGCTCACGGAGGAGGATCCTCTCCCTAAACTTGAGACAGCAACACTGATGCTTTGCACTGACGTTGCGTGGGCCCCATGCATGTTTGCTCAGGAGCACGCCGTGGTGTGGGGGCTTCACACTGGCAAGGATGGGAGTTTTAATGCCACAGAAATTGACAACTGCTACAAAGCAGTGCTTGAGGACCAGGCTTATCAGCATGCCTTGGGAGCCTGAGTGTCATAGAGCAGGATTCTGGAGGCTTGAATTTTTTAGGGTAGAGGGGCTACTCAGAGAGAACTTCGTCAAGGGACACTGATGGTGGCTAGTGGCCCCGCTCAGCACCTGTGACCACAGTAGATGTAGTGTCTCTCTGGTGATGGCCGTGGGGCCCTCAAGACCTTACCTCCTGTTAAGCACATTTCTTGTCCCTTTTGCCTTGAAAAAGAAACCCAGTCCCCCAATCAGTAATTGGGTGCTGGCTATAAGAGAGATGCTTTCAACCCCTTTGTAGCTCTGCAAATATTGGTAAGATCCTGAGAGATGGTCCTAGCCAGGCAAGACCTCTGAGAACCAGGCAGTGAGGGGGAGAAGGGACCAAGGCAGGAAGTTGGAGGCACCCGCACAGCCTCTGAGCAGTGTTTCTGTCCCCGCAGTGAATGGATACCACGCGTCAGGGACCCCAGCGCACCCTCCAGAGACTGCCCACATGAGTGTCCGAAAATCCACCGTTGATTCCCAGGTAAGGGGTCCTGTTAAGGGAGGTAGGGGTAGCCAGGCATAGGGAGGTGTCGCTAGGATGGGCACGCCATGAGGGCCAGCGGATGTAGCCCAGCTCTGCCACATGGCAAAAGTGGTTGGTATGTGTGCACCGTCCTGTCATGCTGTGATTGGGGAGAGTAGATGATCATGGTTTGTGGTTTTTCCTAACCCTTGCGTATGGTTTGGAATTGAGTGATAATGATGGGATTTTAAATGTTGGTAGCACAGAGGGCTCCATCCTGCCATCTGCATTCCTGGTACACAGTCTAGATTTGTTGTCACTTTAAGAATATGGTTGGTAAAGGTTTACATAATGCTCAAACCCACAACACTCAGTGACCCCGAAGTCTTTATGGCTGTGAAGCACTTCACCTGGACGTGGTGTGTCAACCTAAGGAAAAGTGTGATCCTTTGGAATGCATCTGGTTCAAACACTGAATATGTTCTTTAAGTAATAAAAACACGAACATCTTCATGTGTACCCACCTTTCTCCTCTTAATCTCCCCCCCAACACACAGACACAAACATGGATGGCCAGGTAATTTCCTTTTTCTACATACCCCTCCACCCCTTCCCACCCAGACTTCACCCAGAATGGAATTTTGTAAAATATTTGATCACATTTGATAATCATCGTAGATACTGCTATGAGATAAAAAGAAATGGGAGTATGGTTTAAGTTTCCCAAAGTGCTTCTGCCTTTGTCATCTCAGATGATGCATGGAGAAATGCATAAGTGCCAGCACTTACCCCGAGTGGTGTCATGACTTGGTGAAGTGACCTGGGCAGGTTGACTTGATTACTGAGTATTCAGACTGGGCCTGTTGCTTTAGGCTTGTCTAAGAAGCTGAGGACTAGTCACTAGTTGGATGTGGTCTATCCACAAATTACCAAAAAGGTGACACCTCCAAATTCTACCAGACCTTCCCAGGAATCCCAATGCCAGGCCCTCAGGGCAATGGTGGTAAAGATACTATTGCCTGTGGGGATGATGACAGTGGCCCTTGTTATCAACAGCTGTGGTGTGACGCATCGGTCATGGACAGGTCTCGTGATGTTACTACAGTGCCTAGAATGTGACATGGCATGAACACGCCCAATAGGGCTACTCTTGGAAACTGTAATTAAGTGGTTGTCTTTGGAGGTCGAGGCTCAGGGTCAGTTCAGTAAAACTCTAGAAAAGAATTTGAACATGCACGTGAGCCATTGCGTCTTACCTTTGCTGAACTTACAAATCACCTGGGCCCTGCGTAAAAAGCAGGTTCTGATTCTGGGGGCTGATTGTGGAGCTTCAGGGAGGGCCTGAGGTTCTGCGTTTCAAGCAGCCCCCGGTGACCCTGCCACTGCTGGCGGGACACCTCGCCTCAGCAGCCAGGACCTGGCACAGCCAGCAGTGCCCAGCACGTGTGTATGCCCCTGCATACTCACAGCCCTGCTGTTGTGCCCATGCAGAGTCCCTGATAACCTCTCAACACAGCCTCTGTGATGGACGTGAAGCATACCAGCCACCTGACTACAGGGACATCAGCCTACATCTGGCAGTTTAATAATAAACTGTTATTAAATAAGCTGGGGCTGCCCTTGTATCCTCAAGGAAGAGTGTCAGTAACAACTTACCCTCCCACCCCATCATCCTTCTTTCCCTAGAAGAACATGGCTCCCGCCCCCACTTTGAAACACTGTGAAATTGTTACTCAACCAGCTAAAAACATATGCATTGTTAGAACCTTCAAGGCAGTGGATTTGACAGTGTGTGTCAGAGCCTCTCTGGACCCAGGAATTTCCTTTCCAGCATTTGCTTTTGTAATCTATTCAGGGATTCTGTTTTGCCACGAGGCCACTCGTGCAGGTGTCACTTCAGTAGGTCTGGATGCCACCTCAGGGTCCAGCCATTGGGGATGGGTCCAGTGGAGTCCCAGCTGGTGGTGTCACGCCGCCATGATGAAGCATTCTTCTGAAGAAAATGCAATGATTTGGGAAACTACTTGTGAGAAAATATTGAATATGAAAAGCAGGAACCAAACAGTATAATCAGTCAGTTATATTTGGAGGGGGAAATGTGATGTATGTGAAGACGAATGTCTAGAGGAAAAATAAACCTGGACATTGATGGTAGTTCTCAACCTAGAGGACGTTTGGCAATTTCTGGAGATATTTTGGTTGTCACAGCCGGGGAGGGGTTGTCAGTTCTGTCATCTTTGAGTACAGCTTGGGGACATTACCTCTGGTCCCACAGTGCACAGCATAGCCCACAAGTAATTATCCAGTTCAAAAATATGAATGGTATCAAGGTTGAGAAATCTCGATAATAAACCTGAAGAAATTTTTATTTTCTTTACATTTTTCATTGTTTTTCAAATTTCCTAAAATAAACATTTTACTTTTCATAGAAAAACCAATAAGCAATATTTGAAAAACTAGAGGCAGGGTACTGGTGTTAGATGCAGGACAGGTCAGCCTGGAGACCCACACAGGGAGGAGTGATGGCTATTTTGTCTATTCATTTTGTGACAACGTTAACAATTGAATTATCAACAAAGTAACCCCCCAAAAAAGTCTAGTGGTACATGGAGAGAGAATTTGTTCCCAAAACGGTGAGGTCGAATGTTGTTCTCTTGGCTGTGAGGAGGTTTGGCACCTGTGGAGCTGCCTGTGCTCCAAGGTGCTAGAGGCCAGGCTTAGAATAGATGCAGAAGGTTTGGTCTTTATAGAGAGTGTTACTAACAAATGATTGCTAAGGGCTGAAGACACTTATCAGCATGCATAGTATTTACTCATGCTCTCCCAGCTGTCAGTTATGTTAATAATTATGACTTAGTATTTGAAGAAGTACTGAATGAACTCATGGCCATCGAGATGAAGTGGGGGTGGGGGTGGGTAAAGGGTGGTTTACTCAAAGCCCTGTGTGTGCTTTTTCTGCTACCTGCTAGCTGCCCCTCCTTGAGCAAGCTAATCAGGAAAATTAGAATGTTAAGGGGGGTAACATCCCTAATCTTCTTAGAAATCAGAAATGTGCCCTCTGTCACCCCATGACTTCCTGAGCAGGACTGATGACTGGGTGCCCAGCAGCCCCTGCATTGCCTGCCCCTCCTTCCCAGTCCTGGAACACCTGGACTGGGCACAGGTGGTGGTGATCTAGTGCCACCCAGTGGAAGCTGTCGCATCTGCAGTTCTGGGGGTGGGCTGCCAGGGGACTGGGTTAAATGGGGCTCACCTCTTGGGAGGGCAAGGGATTGTCTTCTAGGTCTTTGCCTGATCTGTGGGCAGGCCCTTCTGTGACTGCCTTTCAATCTTCTGCCTACCCTTGAAGTTCCCCTCAAAAAGGATGTCTTTAGACACAGGAGAGAAGAAAAGGGAATAGGAATAAGAACTCAAGGGACCCATTGGAGAATGGAATTTAAGGTAGAAATAGAAGTGAGAGACTGAGAGCTCATCTACTTAATGGGGCTCCTCTTTCCCCTTCACTTAATTCAATAACACATGTTCTGTTGAACATCTATGACTTTTCCAAGCCCTGAGCTGCAAACAGATATAGCACCTGCCTTGATAGAGGTTTATTGCTGGTGCTGAAGAAGGACATAGCTAAATGGTTTTCATTTCATGGTGATAGGGAATGGAGGAATTTGTGTTAGGAGGATGCTGGTCAGTGGTGGTGGAAACGTCAGAGGTGGATTCCTTAAGAAAAGATGCTTAAGTTTAGACTGGAAAGATGAGCGAGGGTTTAGCTTGACAAAGAGGTAAAGGGAACAGTATTCCAGGTGGAGGGAACAGAATGCATGGATGCCTAGAGGAAGGAAAGCAGTGATTTCAAAAGAATCCACAGAGGCCAAAATTTCCTAAGTTGGCAGGTGCAGGGAGGGTGGAGTCTGCACAGACCTTTTGTGAGGAACTTGGGTTTTATTCTAGCTGCACTAGAGCACCACTGAGAGGTATACGGGGTCCCAGTTGAGGGTGTGTAACCCGAATCTTCACAGGCAAGGAGACAGGACTAATGAAACATGTGGAGCAGGGGTTTAGGCCATCATTTGTGAATGACAGTCTGCCAAGCCCTGCCTCATGTCACCACTCTTGGCTGGTCCTTGGAGTTAGCAGAGCAGCCCAGGCAAGGTGAGGAGATCAGGCTGAAGAGGTATCTTAACAATGGAAGGTGAAAAAAAGTTCTAGGACATAGGCAAAGGAGATTTAAAAACTAACTCCGTTGTGCACATTTACAGATACTCATAGAAAGATACTGTGTTAAAGTACCATGGACCTGTCATTTAGCTTCAATGATTATTCAGCCAATCTTGTTTCATTTATATCCCCATCCCCTCTCCAGCCCCCAACATATGTAAATGTATTATTTTAAAGCAAATTCCTGATGTTTTGTTTAAACTGTAAATACTTCAGATTGTATCTCTAAGGGAGAAGACATAACTACCAGACCACTAGCGTATTTAAGAGAACATTAATTCAGTAATATCTAGCATACATATGTGTGTATATATATATATATATACATATATATATATCATCCATATTCAAAATCCCTAATCATCCTGGAAATGCATTTTATAGCTGTTTTTTTCCCCAGTCCCAGATCCTTTCACGTTTCAATGTACAAGAGTACATTGGTTGCTATATCTCTAGTTTTTCTCTTTTTAAATAGCCTTATTGAGATGTAATTCACATAGCATACAAATCACCTGTTTAAAATGTATGACATGGTGGTGTTTAGTGTAGTCAGAGTTGTACAACCTCCATCAAAATCAATTTTAGAACATTTTATCCCCCTGAAAATCCCACTCCGTCTTAGGGAACCACTAATCTACTCTCTGCTGTTATAGACTGACTTATTCTGGACAATGCATATAAATGGAATCTTACTGTGTGTGGTCTTTCGTTTCTGGCTTCTTGCACTTAGAATAATGTTTCAATTCAGTTTAAACAATACACCAGGAATTTGCTTTAAAGTAATATATTTAAATACAACAGCGGCTGGAGAGGAGATGAGAATATAAATGGGAATATATAAATATATATTCATGTTATAGTGTGTGTCAGCACTTCATCCTTTTTTATGGCCAAATAATATTCTACTATATGGATTTACTGTTGCATCTGAGTTACCACTTTGGTCTCTTTTAATCTAGACTGTGTCCCTCATACACTTCTTCCTTTGTCTTTCCTCATATTAGCCTTTTGAGGGGAAGAGTCCAGGTCAGTTGTCCTGTAGAATGACCTGCATTCCTGGTTAGATGGTTCTCGTATGCTCAGGGTCAGGCTCAGCAGCTTGGACAATAGCCCCTGGGTCTTAGTGCATCTGTGAGGAGATGCTCACTCCCAGGTCCTCCCTCCCCACCAGGTCACACCCTATAATGATGCTGAGCTTGTGCTTTTGGTTTATGTGACTGCTGGAGCTCTCCTTTGCAGGGAAACATGAACATTGTCCCTTTGTTATTCATAATTTTTGCGCAATATTTGATTTCTCCCCTCAGGTGTAGTCCCCGTAGTGCTCCTTCCTCCATAGTACCCATGATCCATCACCATAGTCCCTTGTGCTCTACTCTCCCCTGTTTTGACCCTTCTCCCCATGCCTCAGATCTAGAACATCTTCCCTTTTTAGCATGTCAGTAGTCTGTGGGCTGGTAGGGTGATACCCTGTGCATACCCTGTTCCCGAACAGCCTTTTCACTCAGTCCTGTAAGTATCCTTGATGATCGTGGAATCTCTTTTGACATCGGGGTTTGCAAATGGTGATTTTCTAATTTCTTATACATTATTTATTGGTGTTCTCCGGTAAAGAAATGCTATCCCCCTTTGCAGTTAACCATTTGTTGTCATCATTCATATTAATGCTCAATAGTCCCAAATTTGACTTGTGGATACCCCTTTAAGCAGGGCCTAATGCCCATTTATTCTATCACATCATTCTTTGAATACTTCTTACTTCCAGGGACAATAAGATGTTCCAGGCCCACCTGGCATCTGGAATTAGTGGGGAATAGTATTTAGCAACTCCTATATAGTAGATGGAGATAACATCACTTCTGGGCACTTTCAGTGGAGTATTATGGGGTGTGTGTGTGTGTGTGTGTGTGTGCGCGCGCGTGCGCGCGCGTGTGTGTGTGTGTGTGTGTGTGCGTGAGAGAGAGAGAGACAGAGAGAGGTATGTGAAGCATACACATGATATGTTTTATGCATATGTTGATGTAGGCACTGGTCATGAGCAGGAAATGCAGAGCCTAAAACTGTCTGGAGAAACTTGTGACCTGAGTGCCGACACCCACCCTCAGCACACCCACCCTCAGTCCCATTACTGGTAATCCTATCCTGGCTTAAGTTATAGGGAGGAGGTGGCCTCTGTATCCAGTTTCATTCCACCAAGGCTTTGACACTCTGGTCCCCAACTCATGGATGATGGAGGGCATGTTGACCCCTGTGGAAATTGTTCCAGGTCTCAAAGGGGAGAGAGGACCGAAGGTAGTGAAGTTATTTAGGCTTGAGTCCTGACTTCCTCTGGTTACTCTCCTTGTGATTCTGGACAAATTCATTTCTGCAAGCTTTGACATCATCATCTATGAAATGGAAACGGTGCCATAACTTGCTGGGGTTGTGGAGATTAAATGAGATTAAGAATATCCCATGGTTAGTCTGATACCCACCTGGTTGAAAGTGTTCAGTGACAGAAGCGTCTGTGGACTTGTCCTTTCTGGTAGAGATCCTCCTTTTGCTTCCCCTCCTCCTCATCAGCATCAATATATAGACTCTAAGGCTGTTGTCAAGACTTGCAAGCACATGTTGCCCTCCTGGTGGGCTGGGGAGGGAGCAGTGCCAGTGGTGGTGGTGGTAGTGGTGGTGGTGTGGATGCATAACAGAGAGACTCCTGCAAAGTGCAGGATCCATCTCAAAGATGCCCCTTCCTCCTTCTGGAAATATACTGGCTTGGCCAGTGCCTCTGATAAATGAACCTGCAAGAGAGCTGTGCACTTGGCTCTTCTTGGGGAGCAGCACCTGGGCTCCTGCCCTGCACCCTCTCTCTGCCTTCTTCCCAGACAACCCAATTTGGGTAAGTGCCCTGGCAGGATTGATAGCTTGGGAAGGTCCGGGGAGGGCAAGCTGAATGAGTTGGTGTGTTAAAAACATATAAGAAAGCTGTAATTGGTCTCAAGCTTGTCCTTGCCCCAGATCTGTCAGGGCTGCTAGAGATTGGGGCCGGGAGCCACTGGGTGAAAGGACACAGTGTAGATCACTATGTCTCCAGGGAGGACTCCCAGATTCTGCATCATAGGCACTGACCCACCTGAGACCTGCTGGATCAGAAACCCTGAAAGGTGTGACTGGGACTCTATTTTGGGCAAATTCCTCAGTTATATCTGATGCAGCCCAAAGCTTGAGGACCCTTGGTTAGCAGGTGGTGAAAATGAGGTTCAAAGAAATTACTCAGCAGGATGTCAAGGCTATTGTATTCCTTTTCTTGTCTGTGAACTGGGTGGTCTGTAAGGTCCCTGTTAGCCAGGCAGGCATGGGGTTTCATTCGTTGACTTCACTTACCAGCCCAAGCAGGTCAGTATAGGGGTAAGGGGACGAAGAGACCATGAACAGGGACTCAGCCGTGCTCCCTGTTTTGCCTGATGGGTCCCTGTTTTGCAGGTGGGTTCTTGAAACAGCACTGACCCCACCTCCAGGGGCTCATTTTGCTATGGGGTCCAGGGCTGTCCTGGCCCCTGGGGAGAGGGAGGAGGGAGCTGGTTCCCTTCCTGGAGACACCCTCTGTGCTTTCCCAGCCTTTACCTGTGAAGTCCTGATGACCATTTCCTTACATAAGCCTTGCACCCCGGGACACACATACAGTAGTCACCCCCTTGCCTGGGAGTGAGGTTTCATCTCATCTCTGGTGTGACTCAGGACAGGCGTGGACATCACACATCCTGCTTGGGGACCTCTGTTCCCAATGTAAGTGCCAGTGGGTTAGCAAAGACCCAGAACTGGCCCTCCCTTTAGGGTCATAGGCTCTTAGGACAAATGCAGCATTTGTGTGGCGGCCCTTAATTTTCCATACCAGATCTGTCCCGGGACTGGGTCTGGACTATGGTTTTTCTTGCTGGCACTGGGAAGACATAAAAAAGGCAAACCAAAGACTGAATGGAAGCTGAAACATAACTGAGAAATCCCTCCCAGTTCGAGGGGTTGGGGGAGCAGCAAATCATGGAGGTGGCTGAGCACCCCAGCACCCATTGCGCACATTTAGGGTTTGATATGTTGGATCCAGAGCATCCAGAATAAGATGTGGTGTTCGAATCCTCAGTGCCAGGAGGTGGTGACCTCAATTGGGCTTAATTCTCTGCTCCTGGATAGATTCTGCAGGTTCAGGCAACACGAGAAGAACTGTTTACCAGCAGAGGGCAGCTGAGGGGTTAACTCCCCAAATCACAGACTGGGGAAAGAGGAGGCAGACCTGGTTTGAAGCAGTTCCCTCCAAGCTTGTGCTGGGGGCTTCCCCCAGCTCCCCTTCAAGCAGGACAGGGAGCAGCAGCAGGAGGTCAAGATTCCTCCCACCTGCCCTCTCCCAGAATATGGTGACTTAGGAGTTAACGAAGTCTGAGCATCTCTGAACTTCCCCAAGCACGGGGCTATTAACCAATCCCTCCACCTTCGGGGAACCGAATGAAAAAAGATGTCCAATATGGAGAACAGCTTTGATGATGTTTCTTGCCTCTCTCCCCAGAACCTGGGATCCTCGTCTCCCGGTAAAAAGCAGAGCAAGGAGAGCACCATCACGGTAAGTGGTGCCCGCCTGGGGGCTGGGGCTTTCCGCCACTGCTGGGCTGTTGCCATGGCAATGCGGACCGCTGCTTGGAGGAAGCAATGCCCAGTCTGGAATCCGGGAAGTTCGCCGCTTGGATTTAACTAAAGTTTCCCCCTGCCTCTCCCCCACCCCCAGCCCTGACCCCTTTCTCCCTCCTGCCCATTCACATATCACTTTTACTCTCCTGGTGAATGTATGGAAGGATGCTGCTTAGAATGATGCAGAAGCCATTTTTTTTTTTTTTTCAGGGCGGGCTGGGGAAGGTACACGAGCAAGAGTGGGTTGAAGGGGGTGGACCTTGCTCTGTGCAAGTGAAATGACATGTAAATTACCGCCACGGCAGGGTTGCTTTTTGTGCAGGGTAACTTCTAGAAGATGTCAAAGTTAAAAGCAAGAGAAAGCGCCCTAAGAATAGAGCTCCTGGGAGTTCCCAATTGGAAGCAGGCAGCCTCTGCCTACAGTGGCCAACCCACCGCCCTCCTGCCCTCCCTGGCTCTCCCCAAATCCCGCCAAGCCAAGCTCCAATGTGGAAGCTGAGGAAGAGCAGCCCTCCCCCTATCAACCCCCCTTTCTCAGGAAAGCAAGTGGGCAAAAGAGTTGTCCAGCTGCTCAGACAGCCAGGAACTCAGAGACGTGAGAAGTGTGGTACTTGCTTTGCTATTCTTATGCAAGTATAGCCAGGGTTGGAAATGGAGAATTACTCTCTGGTTCCATCACACACAGTTCTGAGCCATTGTTACCACCCCCACGGAGATGAAGCCAAGAATGGGTGCATTTCCCTGGCTCACCCAGCCTGGAAATCCTGTTTTGGAGGACAAAGAGCGGGAGGAAAACAATAGCAATGGCAATAACAATAACGCATAAGTAGTGTTCCGAGTGGTCTTTTAATTCCCCACTCTTTAGTGGGTGGAGGATCCATGCAGCAGGGTGATTCTGAACTGGGCTCTGCAGCCAGTGTCAGTTCCAGCACTGTCTAGCTGAGCAGCAGCCTGCAGCAGGACTCCACCATGCCGTGTCTCAGTGTCCACATAAAATAGGGAGATGGCGGGCATCTGTGTCACAGGGATGGTGTAAGTCTAAATGAGTCTGTAGGCAGAACACTTAGAGCAGAGCCTGGCACATGGTAAATGCTCAGTACACACTGCTGTTCTCATCAGCCTGTTTATCAATGAGGGAACTGAGGCCCAGAACAGTCCAGCACCCAAGGCCACACAGTTGGGAGGCGTCAGTACTCAGGTGGGGTCGACCCTGCTCCACCTCCCTCTTCTGGTGAAAGTTGCCTCCCAGGGCAGGACCGGGCAGCTGAGACTGGGTGGACCTGGCTCAGCTGCAGCTTCCTCATTGCTGGAGCTGACCGGGCAGGGAAGGGAACGGGCAGGCATCCCATGGACAGAGTCCACATCTTCAAATTATCAAAAAATATCCCAGTTCCCAAAAGTTTCCTAAAATCAGAGAAAAAAAGGGAGAAGAAAATTGGGGGAGGGGGTGGGCGGGTGAACTACATTAGAATTTCAGAAGAAAAGGAAAAAAGAGAAAAAGTAAAAAGCAGAGTGTGTGATGCCTCCCTGGCTGGAAAGGCCTTTGGTGATGAGGTCCAAGCAGGGAGGGCCAGGAGCAGTCACCTGCTGGGCCTGTGTTTCAGCCAGAGCTTTGGGCTTTGTCAGAGTGGCCTCTTGCTGACACCTTCACTCCTGCCTGAGCACTTTCTCTTCCTTCCCACTGACTTAAATCAGTACTCCTGTGAGCCAGCCCACAAAGTGTAGTTGGCATCTGAAGCTTCTGGGATAATTGTTTAAGTGCAGATGCCCAGATTGAGCCCTAGACCTACAATTGGTCTCTTTGGGGGGCCAAGCTGGAAAATTTGCCTTTTAACCAACACTACCCAGAGGTTGTAAGAAAATACTCAAGCCTTGAGGAATTTTTGCTGGGGACACTGAGCAAGCGGGGACTGGCTAGAGGTCACAGAGCAAGTAAGGAGCAAGAGCCCTAGACTTGAACCTGGGACTGAGGGACCCACACACCTCCAGGTTGGCGACCTTGGCGCCTCTGTCTTTCCCCTTTCATGTACCCTTATTCTCCCCAGGTGCCTAGCCCCTTCCTCTGGGTTCTGATCCTCCACACCTCACAATTTCCCAAGGGGGAGGAAAAGACAGGGTGAGGGGGGTGCGGGACACAAGCTTCCCTTGTCCTGGAATGTGGGGGTGGGGCAAGCACCAGCCCACTTAGTCTGATCCCACACTGCAGAAATTCTCGGCTTGGGCAGCAGAACCTGAGTGCATTCAGGTCTGAATTTGTGTCATCTTGGCACTGAAGAACAAGGATTGAGTTTGATTCTGAAGCTCAGGCTCCCCACCCAGCCAGGAGCAAGTTTTGAGATATGTGCCTTGGACAGTGGGGACAGTAGAGAGGGCTACTTGACCGGGAGTTACAGTGTTAATGGCAGAAAACCACCTCAGTGCACACATATGTCAGAATCTAGAGGACTCCAGAAAATACCATGACAGTGCTAACTAACTATCACACTCCATTCCTGGACAGGGAAATTTGGGGACTGCTGAGGTCTCAACCTCAGCTTCCCAACATGGCCTTTTGGGGGGCCCAGAACCCTGGTGGGAGCTCACAGACTGGAGATGAGCCCTTGGGGTTCTGCTCCCACAACATCGACTGGTATTCCTCCGTCACACAGCCCCAGATCTTCTCCCCTCCAGGGGAAAATTCAGGGAAAGCTGTGAAACCATTTTCTGTGCTGCCAGTGGCTGGTGGGATGGGTGATGCAGGACTGGGGGTGGGATATGCTGAGGGCCTCCCAAAGGCAGCCCCCTGGGCACCTCACACTTATGTACTGTGGCTCTCATGCTCTGACCACGCTGTTGAGTGGCTGCTGTTGCTGCTCCCTCACAACCCCACCCCTGGGTTTCTGGAGGCAGCCCGGTGGGTAGTTCTGCAACCCTATACAAGATGGCCATGACTGCCCCTCAGTCTTACAGGGGTCTCCCTGGCTGTCTGGAGGAGCACCACTGTGTTATCAGGGCCAAGAGAGCAGTCCATCAGGATGAGGATGCTGTAGATTGAGCGTGGCACTGGGGGGGGGGCAGGGGGCAGGGGAGGAAGGGCTGTGAGGGTGGGGATGGAACAGGTCCAGATGAATAGGGTTTTGGGAACCAATATCCCATGAGGGTGTGTGGAGGCTTCACCAGCTCAACAAGCAATTCTCAGACAGGGTGTGCACAAATTCAGCTCAACTCTGACACTCTCTACCCCTTGAGGATAGCACTAGACTCCACAGGCTTCAAATGCCAATCACAGCCCTGGGCTCTGCATGACCCACTGGCTGTCCCACAGACCCACAGATATCCCCATGACCCCCTCCTTAGATTTCAGTGACTGTCACAAGCCCAGATTGTTATCTTTACTTCTGGCTGACTGATTATAAACCAGAGGACCCCAGGACACCCCACTGAGGTTTGACTAATTTGCCAGTGACTCACAGAGCTCAAGAAACCCATTTACTCACTAGATCACCAATTTATTAAAAAGGTGGTGTAATTGAGGAACATCCAGATAAAGAGAAGCGTAGAGCAAGGTATAGGAGAAGCTGTGCGTGCCTCTCCAGGCACATTATCCTCCTAAAATATTCCTATTCATCAACCTGGAAGTTCCCTGAAGCCCCTCATTTGGGGCTTTGATGGAGTCTTCATCACATAGGCATGATTGATTAAATAATTGGCCATTGACAATTGAACTCAACCTCTAGTCCCTCTCTCTTCCCTGGAAATCAGGGTACCACCCTCTGTTCAGGTCGGGTTCCCTGGCAACCAACCCCCAGCCCTCCTTCTCTGGTGCTTTCTAAGTTACCTTCATTAACATAACAAGAGACACCTTTATCACTCTCCACACAGAAATTCTAAGGATTTTAAGAACGGTGCTGGGAATTTTACGTGAAAACAAAACATATAGGAGAAATATGTACTTTGATTATCTGACTCTACCATTACTCACAAGCTGTGTGATTTTGTATAAGTTCCTGAACCTCTCTCTGCCTTAGTTTCCTCATCTGTAAAATGAGGAAATGGTTGCTGTGAGGATTAAATGAGAAAGTGCAGGTAAAGTCCTCAGAACAGTGGCTCGCACGTTATTAGCTACTGTCAGAGCAGAAGGTGGTCCCTTAGGATGTCCCTGTGTTTGCTTGGTGGAGGATAGAATTGAGGCTCTAGCTGTGCCCAGATTTGGAGGTGGATGAAGGGATCTGTCTCTGAAGTACAGAGGTGTCTGTGATGATGAATGGCTCCCTGGATTTTGGCACCCTGCTGGGTGTCAGCCTAGGCTGCTTCTTCATTCCTAGCCCTTCAGATCCAAGGCACATGAGCCTTGACTTGAATCCCAAGACTCAAGAGAAAGGACAGTGGTAATAGTGGTGGCCTGGACACTAAAGAAGCAGCTGTCCACCTGGCTCTGCCACTTTTAAGCTGCATGATAGTAGACAAGGGACTCCACTTCCCATGCCTCAGTTTCCCCGGCTGGGCATGAGCTTCCCCTGTGAACAAGGTCACTGCAGACAAGCATTCTGCTCTAATTGCTTACCTGCTGTCGTGCCAGCAAGCACGGGACAGGTTCACTGTCAATTAGGGCAGATGGATAAAGAGAGTCCTGGAGCCCTCACTGGACTTTTCAGGCTTTTTTTTTTTTTTAAATGTTACTTTTTTTAAAAAAGATGTATTTATTTGTACAAGAACTGGGGTAAAGGCCAGAGGCACGGGAGGGTGAGAGAATTCACCAGAGACAAAGCGGAGAGCAGAACAGGCAGATGGAACAAAGACACTACTGAGGGGAGCAGCGGGTGAGGCAGGAGAGGTCTGCTACACCATGTGGGTATCTCCCTGGCCGGCAGGGAATCGAACGTACACTGCAGAAGCTTCGGACAGCTTCACAGCTACAGTGCGGCGTTCAACCCGCTGTACCACCGGGGAGACCCC